TTAAAAAATAATTCCTAAGTGGGGAAGAACTTTCCCAATAGGGCATCAAATCTAGAAGTATCAAGAAAATATTGAAAAATTTGAATGCCTGAAAATTTAAAAGGTCTGCCTAGAAAAAAACACTAAAACCACAGTTAAAAGACAGCCTGGACAAATTCTGGCAATTCATATGAAACATAGTACTAGTTTCCTTAACATATAAAGAACTCCTACAATTCAAAAAGGAAAAGGCCAACAAAAATAGCCACTGGGTGGCTCAGTTGGTTAAGTGTCCAACTTCAGCTCAGGTCATGATCTTGAAGTTCCTGAATTCGAGCCCCACATCGGGCTCTGTGCTGACAGCTCAGAGCCTGGATTCTGCTTTGGATTCTGTGTCTCCCTCTCTCTCTGTCCCTCCCCTGCTCATGCTCTGTCTCTCTCTCTCTCTCTCTCTCTCTCAAAAATAAATAAACATTTTTTAAAATTTTTAATAAATTAATTAAAACAAATAAAATGTGTTTTAAAAAAAAGATAGACAAAGGATATGGACTGACAGTTCACAAAAAAAGGGAATTGGTTTTAGAATGTCAAAACTATTAAAAGTTCACGCATATTAAAAAGATGCACACAGGGGCGCCTGGGTGGCGCAGTCGGTTAAGCGTCCGACTTCAGCCAGGTCACGATCTCGCGGTCCGTGAGTTCAAGCCCCGCGTCAGGCTCTGGGCTGATGGCTCAGAGCCTGGAGCCTGTTTCCGATTCTGTGTCTCCCTCTCTCTCTGCCCCTCCCCCGTTCATGCTCTGTCTCTCTCTGTCCCAAAAATAAATAAACGTTGAAAAAAAAAAAAAAAGATGCACACTTACAATGACATACCATTTTCACCTATTAAACTGTGAAAGATCCAAAAGTTTGATAACACTTTTTTTTTTAACGTTTTATTTATTTTTGAGAGAGGGAGAGACAGAGCATGAACGGGGGAGGGTCAGAAAGAGGGAGACACAGAATCTGAAACAGGCTCCAGGCTCTGAGCAGTCAGCACAGAGCCCGACGCGGGGCTCGAACTCACAGACCGCGAGATCATGACCTGAGCCGAAGTCGGCCGCTTAACTGACTGAGCCACCCAGGCACCCCTGATAACACTATTTTTGATGAGGGTGTAAGAAAACAGGCACTCTTACACTTCTGACGGAAATGTAAATTGATGCAACCAGCCCAGAGATCAATTTAGCAATACCTATCAAGATTTAAGATAATTGATCCAGTAACTATACTTCATAGAATTTATAGTACTGTTATACTCCCACATTTATGAAATGACATATATATGGGGTGATTTATTGCAGCACTGTTTGCAACAGTGTTGCAAACAACCACATTCCCATCAAATAGGGGACAGTTAAATTTTTAAAAAATTTTTTAATGTTTATTTATTTTTGAAGGAGAGAGAAAAGACAAGAGTGCAAGCAGGGGAGGGGCAGAGAGAGGGAGACAGAATCCGAAGCAGGCTCCAAGCTGTCAGCACAGAGCCTGACACAGGGCTCGAACTCACGAGCTGTGAGATCATAACCTGAGCCAGTCAGATGCCCAACCCACTGAGCCACCCAGGTGCCCTGGGGACAGTTTAAATAAATAAAAGATCACTGCACCTGGTCGGCTCAGCCAGTAGAGCATGCAACTCTTGATCTCGGGGTTGTGAGTTCATGCCTGAAGTTGGGCGTACAGCTTACTTAAAAATAATAGATAGATGATAGATAGATAGATAGATAGATAGATAGATAAAAGATCTATATGATTATATTCTACATGATCTCTAGAGGACACATGAAAAATGGTAAAAGCTATTTCTGAGGAAGCAAACTCATAGACTGGGGTTCAGTGATTACAAGGAGACTTACTTCCTATTATATATATTTTTCAAAATACTCCTTGAGGTTTTTATTCTGTCCATAATTTACCTATTTTGGGGTTTGTGGTTTTTTTGTTTTTATTTTTTAGAGCGAACACAAGCAGAGGAGAGGGGCCCAGGGGGGGGGAGAGAGAGAGAGAGAGAGAGACAGAGAGAGAGAGAGAGAGAGAGAGAGAGAGAATCTTAAGCAGGCTCCAAGATCAGCACAGAGCCCAACATAGGACTTGATCCCATGACCTTGGGATCAGGACCTAAACTGAAATCAAGAGCAGCACTCAAACAACTGAGCCACCCAGGAGCCCCTGATTTTTTTAAACTATTTTTATGTATTTAATAAACTCGTAGAAACTGGCATATGCCAAACACTATCAGCTTTCCAAATATTAACTCAGGTATTTTTCTTAACAACCCTATGAGGTAGTAGTATTATTGTCTCCATTTTACAGATGATGAAACCCAAGCATATAGGGTCACATTATGACTTCTGTGGGCCCTGGGTATTTTGGATGTTGTGGAACAATTCCATCATAAAAAATATTGAAAATTATATTTTAAAACTGCTTTTGTATATAACAACAAATATAATACCAGGCTGGATTCATTTTGTTTTAAGTTGCTTTATTTATTTTGAGAGAGAGAGAAGTGTGTGCGAGCAGGGAAGGGGTAGAAAGAGAGGGAGAAAGAGAATCCCAAGCAGGCTCCATGCTTGGCGAGGAGCCCCACAAAGGGCTTGATCTCACAACCGTGAGATCGTGACCTAGTCAGTATCAAGAGTTGGACACTTAACCAACTGAGCCATTCAGGCGCCCCTGGATTCATTACTATATACTCATTAGTTAAAAAAAAATTTTTTTTAACGTTTGTTTATTTTTGAGACAGAGAGAGACAGAGCATGAAAGGGGGAGGGTCAGAGAGAGAGGGAGACACAGAATCCGAAGCAGGCTCCAGGCTCTGAGCGCTCAGCACAGAGCCCGACGCAGGGCTCGAACTCGAGATCATGACCAGAGCCGAAGTCGGACGCTTAACCGACTGAGCCACCCAGGCGCCCGATATACTCATTAGTTTTATATTCATTTTTACTTCTGATTTTAAAGGACAGTAAAACATTTCATGGGCTCATAAAAGTATAATAGGTTGTAGGCATTGTGTCTCCTGCAGGCAACAGAGAAGCTAAGTAACTTATCCAAGGAAACACAGCCAGTAAGTGGTAAAACTGGGATTTGAACCCAGGAAGCGTGGTTTCAGAATCGGAGCTTTTAATCTGTATGCTAGATAAATAAAGCAAATCATAGGGGGGAAATTATGTCATTTATACATATGTTGACATAAAATTACCTAAAGACAAATTTTTTTTCATTTTTTTTTAAGTAGACTAAAAACAAAAAATGGGTTTTACATCCAACGTGGGGCTTGAACTCATGACCCAAAGATCAAGAGTCACATGCTCTACTGACTGAGCCAGGCAGGAACCCCCCTAAAGACAAATTAGCTGAAGAAATCATGGAGGAAAATAGTGTACATATTATGTTTTATAAAAAGGTTTACATACACATGCTATCTCTTGAAGAATGTATTTCATTTGTTTTTAAGTTTTATTTATTTATTTTAAGAGAGAGAGAGAGAACGAATGAGCAAGTGAAGGGCAGAGAGGGAGAGAGGGAGAGAGAATCCCGAGCAGGCTCCATGCTGTCAGCACAGGGCTCAAAATATAAGTTAAAGGGGTACGTGGGTGGCTCATTCGGTTAAGTGTCTATCTTTGGCTCGGGTCATGATCTCAGTTCATGGGTTCAAGCCCCGCATCGGGCTCTGTGCTGACAGCTCAGAGCCTGGAGCCTGCTTTGGATTCTGTGTCTCCCTGTCTCTCTGTTCCTACCTGCCTTGTGCTCTCTCTCTCTCAAAATAAATGAATAAACATTTTTTAAAAATTGATAATAATAAATAAATATCTGGAGAAAAGGACTGGTGAACTGAGAGCCTGGGGAACTTACTTTTTCATTGTGTGTGCCTTTGTGCCATTGGATTTTTTTTTTTTTTTTTTTTTTTTACTGTGAGTATATATTTACTGATGAGAAAACTGAGGCCCAAACAAGGTTACATAACTTGCTCAAGGTTATACAGGTAGTAATGAAACCAATTGTATATAAGAATGAACTATTCAGCCAATCAATAATACATTGTTGTTTCTAAGTATAAACCTTTGAATGTATCCCTGTTAAATTTCATCATTTGTATCCATAGCCAGTTAGCTAGGCTCTTTTTGCATCATGATTCTGGATCCATCGCATTTATCTTTATGATCCCCTTAAACCTGGCAAGCATGCTTTCCGTATTTCCACCCACATTGTTGTTGAAAATGTTTAACACATGACAAGGCTTAAGCAGTGCTCTGCTGGTGGGACTAGGCATTTCTCCAGGATCTCATCAATCCATCTCTTTGGGTAATGAGCTAGCTACCAATCCAATTGATTGTACCATCTATCAATTCCACTCACATCTTCCCACTTACCCTTGCCCAAAGGTTATCTGAAGATCCAAATGTTTTACTGCAGTGTCCATAGCATTCCCTTGTTCAGTAAGCTATTCTGAAACCCCTTTTATAGTGGGTAGTTAAAATTAATAAATGGTTGGTTTCTTTACCACGTTCTACAGGCTTCTGAAATTTACAGCGTCGCCAATCTCCCAGAACTCAGGCAAACTGCTTCAGGAAGACGGATCTCCACCCCCAAATTTCTCATAACAGGTTTGAACAGAACATTTTAAAAAACAGAGCTATACAACTGTTTCCCCCACTGGAATCAACCCACTGCCACCCAAAATAACCCAGACAACTGAACACAGCAGCTGGCAAAGGGCCGGGCGTCTCTAGCCATGGGGGGAAGGGAGGTAAATGCGCGCTGCCGAAGAAGCACTCTCTGTGACAACTCCTCGCTCCATTTCTAGCGATAACACACAGGCTACAGTCAGTGTTGGGAGAAGAACATATTTTCTGGTTTCCCCTGTAATCACACACTATGGCATTGAATGTACATGGGTAGCCCTAACTGAACACAACTGCCTAGTTTCTGAAAAGTTTACTGTAAAGTAGAATTTAAGGAATTCATCTTTTCATTGACTTACCCACCAAATTGGAGCCACGATGCCCTGCAAAGTTTTATTCCCTGGTTGTTAAAAAAAAAATTACACTTACAAATGCAGCAGAATTTTCAATTACGTATTTTAGAGGGAAAAATGTGATTAACACTAAAATAATAAATAACATGCTTTACTCAAAATGTCAGAGTAGAATGACTAAAAGCAAAAACAGTAATGTGTCAGAGATTCCGGTAATAGAATTACTTAACTAATATTGCCTCACGTATCGTTCCTCTATGAAAGCTCAATTTTGCGCCATTTCTAATATTTTCCCCGTTTTAGATTTGCCATCCCCTTTTCAGACCTCTTCATCAGATGAAGTCTATATGGCCTGTGAAATGATTTGCTGTGATAGAAGATAATGATGCATAAAGAAGGTCTGTTCAAATATGCAGTTGACTGGCAGCTGCTTAATTAATGTCTAAAGAATTATTAGTAAATTAAATTGTGACTATACTATTCCCAACCTAATGGTAAAAAGGGTAGTAGTGCTCTCATTAAGACATGTTATTGTATCAAAACATTGGTTGTTGAGATTGACAAAATGCTGATCATAGTTACATATTAACTCTGTGCTGTCATTTATCGCTCCAGGATAGAGTAATGACAGCTAACTTTTACTGAGCATTCACTGTGTACTATATCCCAGATACTATGGGAAGTGCTGTACGTGCATTATCACATTTCAGGCTGATAACAACCCTATAAAACGAAAAGCATTGGTATCACCATTTTATAGAAGAAATTGAGGCACAGAGGAGCTAAGTAATTTGACAAGGATCACAGTAAGCGGTAGAGTCTGATATGAAGCCAGACTAATTTCAGAGCCGGAATTCAACCGCTACACTAGGGAAAGAATTGGGCATTTCTATTGATGATGGATGGGGGGGGGGGGGTGGAGAGCAGATATAACAGCAGCAACTTTGTCTTTTAAAAAGAAAATGAAGTTGCATGGGGTGCCTGGGTGGCTCAGTCGGTTAAGCATCCGACTTCGGCTGGGGTCATGATCTCATGGTCCGTGAGTTTGAGCCCCGCGTCGGGGTCTGTGATGACAGCTCAGAGCCTGGAACCTGCTTTGGATTCTGTGTCTCTGTCTCTGCCCTTCCCCTGCTTGCACTCTCTCTCTCTCTCTCTCTCAAAAATAAACATTAAAAAAATGAAGTTGCAAAACATAAGCACACACAATTGTTGTTTGTATTTACTACATAAATGTCTTGATTTCAGTTTCTCTAAATCAATGACAAATGAGAGACATCTATTTAACTGAAGTTGGACTCTGTCAATATACTATGTATCTGTAAATGGTTTTTAATTAGGTTAAAATTGAACTCCACTACCCCCACACAAATACTGTAGCTTTGATGTCTTTGGGATAAGTAGCCGACAGCACGTTTTTATAGAGAAGCACTACAAAGAGAAATGGGAAAGACTGTTTTCCTGGAGCTTGGCTGAGGACTATGGCGGGAAAGGCCTGGAGCACACTAGTCCAGTGCTCTCAAGACTCAACCCTCGTGTGAATATAAATTATTGCAAATTCTTACACAGCTAAAAATAACAATCCTTACTTTACAGTAGATTCAATAGAACACAATTCTAACTAAATATGTTAATATACCTAATACTGCTATTTCAGATTACTGTTTTATGGTCAAGAAGTCATATTAGAAAATAGGGATTCTAAAACAATGATCTTCTTTTTTTTTTTTTTTTTAATTTTTTTTTTCAACGTTTATTTATTTTTGGGACAGAGAGAGACAGAGCATGAATGGGGGAGGGGCAGAGAGAGAGGGAGACACAGAATCGGAAACAGGCTCCAGGCTCCGAGCCATCAGCCCAGAGCCTGACGCGGGGCTCGAGCTCACGGACCGCGAGATCGTGACCTGGCTGAAGCCGGACGCTTAACCGACTGCGCCACCCAGGCGCCCCAATGATCTTCTTTTTTGAGTGATGTACTTAAAAAATATATATACTAACCAGTTGAGCTGTATCCCGACCTCAGAACTATACACGGGTCCTTCTTCCAACCCCCAGCTTGCAAAATAATCTCTCTTCTCTATAAAATTTCTTAAAGTTCCTCTTGAATAACAATTGCCTGATTATCACAAAACCAGCCCTATATCTTTTCCCTTAAAGTATATGCAAATCACCTATTTTCACTCTCTAAAATAAATCTCCTGTCCACATCCCAAATCAGTTACTGCTTTTATGCTGTTTCTCTTGATTAAGGAGTGGTAGCAATTATTATTATTTCTAGTATTAGTCATGGTTTCCAGGGAATAGCGAGGTTATAATTCATGCTTTACTGCAATGGGTAAATCAGGCAAGTGAAAAACAGCACGAGCCCATAATTTAAATCCTCTTTGAGTTCTTAATCTAAGCCTCTGACATTTGAATTAGGAACAGTAATATATGGTTAAAATTAAACCACGAAGCAAGCCCATATAAATGACTATAAAATCTAACTCTATCACCCAGAAACTCATAAATTAAGACACAAGATTAAAATTCTGCTTTTAATTCTTAGTATTATACCTTAATGCTGCAATATATAACATGCTAAATAGATGTATATTTTGTTTTCATTTACATTGCGTGTTACATAGAGTAAGGCCTTTTGATCTTAACTAAAAGCCTGTAATCTGCAGCTGACAAGTTATTCCTCTGAAAACACATTTTTCCAATTAATGAAAAACCAGAAAGCATTTTTATGTCATTAAATCTACACTCCATTTATTCTAAGTAAGAGGAATTATATCCTCTTTTACTCTTGGTTGTGATTTAAGTCTAGACTCTTTCCCATCCTCTTTTTTCCCTTTGATGCCGGTTTTCTAAGAATCATGGATCAGCGTAAATTGCGTGAGATGGAAATACTGCTTATAAAGAGAAACATCACCACAGTATTTCAGACGATGAGCGGGTAGGTGGTCTTTCATTCTCTGTCCCCATGCTATGTATGAATGGCTGCCCCATTGGGAGTGGCAACCAACATTTCCCTTTTGTTCTATTGTTCTATTACAGGACCCTCCCCCCTCCTCCCCCCCCCCCCCCCCCCCCGCCCTTTTCTTAGCTCCTCTTTGTCCCATGCTACATTGCCTCCACTATAACCCCTTCCACCCAGCCCCAGTCCCATCTGGCCTAAGTGCTGGCAGGCAAATGGAGACAGGAAAAAGAAAGGGAATGCTACTCAAGAGATCAAGAGATGGAGAGGAACTAACGTTCCTTGAATACTTGTTTTGTGCCAGGGGCTGGGCCAAGCATTTTTATGTGCCATGTCATGTAATTCTGTACCAACCCTACAAAATTGGAACTACTATCTTCAGTTGTACAGATGATGAAACAGAGGCCACATGGATCCTTTAAAAAATATGCCCGACACTTACACAGCTAACACAAGTCATAAAAGAAACAAGGCTTCGGGGGCACCTGGGTGGCTCAGCCGGTTGGGCATCCGATTTCGGCTCAGGTCATGATCTCACAGTTCCTGGGTTCGAGCCCCGCGTCGGGCTCTGTGCTGACAGCTCTGAGAGCCTGGAGCCTGCTTCGGATTCTGTGTCTCCCTCTCTCTCTGCCCCTCCCCAGCTCACACTCTGCCTCTCTATCTCTCTCAAAAATAGACATTAAAAAAAATGTTTTAAAGAAACAAGGGGAATCAAAAAACTTAAAGGAAGGCAAATTCTGCTTATCTTCCTCCTCACCACATCTCTCCAGCCCTCAACCCCAGGGCTCATCTTCCTGAGACCAGCAGGGCCAGTTGTCTCCAGCCTAGTATTCTCAATGAGCCTTCAACTGTAACTCTTAATATTACCTTAAAGTTAACTCTTAAATGGTACTTACAATAAAGCCATACACACTGTCTCAGGGACAAATGAAGGGATGGAAAAGTCTTTGGACTTCCATTTCCAGGAATATGGAAGACTAGGTCTCCTAAAAAAAAAATCTCCTCCTACAAAATACCTAGAAATTCTGTAGGTTTGCTTTTTTTTTTTTAAGTTTATTTAGTTTGAGAAAGAGAGAGTGAGGGGCAGAGAGAGAGGGGGAAAGAGACAATCCCAAGCAGACTCCACACTGTTATGCAGAGCCCGACACAGAGCTCGTTCCCACGAACCGTGAGATCACGACCTAAGCCAAGATCATGACCTGAGCCAAAATCAAGGGTTGTTTAACTGACTGAGGCACCCCTGTAGGTTTATTTTGAATCCTTTTGATGTGTAACATAACTCAGCCATCAAGAAAGAAGAGGAAATCTCCAAAAGTCCAAAACAAAAAAAGATGCTGAAGGCAGAACAGTAAACAGATGTTAACGCTTCAACAGCCCTGGGTGTTTTCACACTTGTCTGTAACCAATATTCAAAGAGATATTAGCAGAGAAATGTTCAGAATTTATGAAAGTTATGAATCCTCAAATTCAGAAGGCACAAACCAAAAGCAGGATTTGAAAAAGAGAAATTCCAAGTTGTAAAGGAAAAACTCAGATTTGTTCTTCCTATGTAGGGAAAAACCTCAATCTAGTCTGATGGGGTTTTGGGGTGATGGAGGGGGGTGGAGCTGACAGCCAAGAAAGCATTCTTGAAGACATCTTTGGTGCAAAAAGGTGATTTTATGAAAGCATGGGGACAGGATGTGTGGGCAGAAAGAGCTGCATTGGGGTTGTGACGAGTAACTGATTATATACCCTCAAATTGCGAGGCTGTTAGGGACAGCATACATCTCTAAGATATTTTGGAAGCAAGGTTTCCAGCACCTTGAGGGGTCAGCTGTTGCTAGGGAAACATCATTTATTAACATTTAATAAAACCTCAGTCATGAGACCCTTTAGATGTATATCAGGGGCCAGAAGCCTGGAGTATGATTGCCAGCATATATCTTGGGGGAGTTGAGATAAAGGAAGTTTCCAAAGGAATTTTTATATGGTACAGTAGACTTATAGGATCCTGGGGGGTCAGGATAATGTTAAGCCAAGATTGCCTTTTGCCCCTAGCAAAGTGTCATCATCGAGGCAGCTGAGCTCCCAGAGGGAGGACACTCT